AGTTTTAGGTATATGTATTGCTCATTTCAATTTAGTTTATTTTAGGGTTGAATCATTTTTTTTTTTTTGAGGTTTTTTATTCTAATTTGAAGGGAAAAGACATAGATCTTGTGAGCTTATTTTGTATTTTGTGTCTAAGAATGAACTTGTTTTCCCAAATTAAAATTTTAACTATATTTTACAAGACGTTATTTGTAAAACAACCCCCCCCCCCAGTCAGGTATCCTCTGAATATCCCTCAATGAGAATCCCGAGGATACATGTCTGGAGAACGAGTTGTATTTAGAAAAAATCTGTGTAAGGATAATAATAATAATATCCAAAACATGCATATAAAATGTCACGTAGGATCCAAACTTATAATTTACAAACTTTAAGAAATTATACAATCAAAACATATTTATAGGGTGGAAGCTTCCAAAGGTATTTCACAAATATTTATCATTTACATTATTTACATCAAGATAAAAACATCGAGATGACAATAAATCATCTCCCCTCACGTGTAGTCCCGCTGTCTCTAGCATCCCTCGCTTCTAGTCTACCTGCAAAGCAATCAACAATGAAAGGGTGAGCGCTAATCGCTCAGTAAGGAATGATCTGTTTCATTCTGAATGTACTATTTGATCTTTATTTAAACATATTTATTAACACATCACTTATCTTTTACATCTAGGGATACTTCCCCTTTTATTACTAATTCATATGCTTTTCATCATTTTATCCCATGGCTATATAAACATCAATGTGTACACATACAAATAAGTATGTAAACATAGTACACACACATCACATGTCATGACATAACATCTAAAATCATCTAACATGAGTATAAATCATCTCATGATGTAAATAACATCATAACTCATGTAATGCAACTAAATGCATATGAAACATTTAACGTCTAGCCGATCGGACCTTTCTTAGCATCTTAAGCACTTCATATCATCTAGCCTCAAATTTCATCTAGAGCTCATATCATCGGGAGGCGTGCTTACGCGTTATTTAGCATCTAAAGCATATATTCATCTTTCCTCAACCGGTATACGAGGATATGCTTACGCGTTTTCCATCATGTCTATATGCATCTCTATCATGTCTATTTGCATCTCTAACATCTTATGGCATGTAAATACATATTTTGGTGAGCTTAATACTTTTAATTCATCTATGGATTATCAATCCATTTACATTACCTCTTGCTCACATACATCATCTTAAAACATGTATTACATTGCATCTTCATGCCATTTCATAACATTAATCATGTATTGACATCATGACCATGTATATCTTTCAAAGATCATCTAACTAATGGGTAAACATTAGTACATGGCATAATTACAATAATACATTAATAATCAATTCATAATCATAAGAATTGATTATGTTAAATCTTAAACTTTAATAACCAGTTTATGCTTCAGGCCATTTTCCATCCTTTTCTCAAACGAATTGGCTCTTGGCATAAACATAAAAGTTATAGGTCTGTGTCTTAGCTTTCTAATGCTTCAAGAATCATCTCATTTCGATTTTTATAACTCAAGTTATGGTCGAAATACAGAAGCAGGGTTAACAAAACCCCTAAGCCCATTAAATCCGAATTTTCATATTAACTATGCCACATCAATTCCTATTGACATTAACCAATAGGTTAACTTGTGGATCAAATAAACCTCCCCTTAATAGTCTTTAACATCTTAAAGGAAGTGTAAAATCTCATTTCCATAATCATCCATTATTGCTATAACATTGTAAGCTAATGCAAACAACACATCAACACTTCTAATAGCAACCATTCAACACCATGTGGCCTCCAATACTACAATTTTTGCCACAATCAGTATCCACACTTCATTTTCTTCAATCAAACATAACAACTCATAAAACATAAAGAGCAATAACTTCATGTATAATGAATTCAAGGCAATAAGTAGAATAAATGAGTTCAACTACACTTGCCATCAACTAATTCTATGCCTTAAAGCCTTAATTTAAGGTTTCATAAAAATCTACAAACCCTAGCATAAACCCTAAAGTCATGGGAGGTTCTTCCTTACCTTTTTAAAGACTTCCTCCAACAAATCCTTTGCCTTTGACTTCTTTTACACCTTAATCCTACATATATAACATTATACCTCAACATCTACTTCAAATCTTCAAATCACATCAAAACTAAAGTTTTTAATCCTTACCTTAAACCCTTCAAATTGAAGATCCAAGGCTCCTATCTTGTTCTCCTTGAAAAATTATGCAAAACTCCTTGAAAACCTAGAGAAAGAAAGCTTGTTTCATGGAAGATTTGAGAGAAAATGGAAGAAATGTTGAAGAAAGGCTCTCTCCTTTGGCTTGAACGAATTTCATCTCATTTATAGGAAAATATTTCATTTATTTTCCAAAATTATGCAATTGGCCCAATTATTTTAATTGTATAACTCATAAGTCCTTAATTCTTCATATAAGGGCATTTTGGTCATTTCACACTAGACATAATTATTACTTAATTAATGCCATTAAATGCAATGAAGCCTACTCATCCTTGACTTTTTCAATGCTTATCCATAGGCAAAATAACCATTTTGCCCCTAAGCCTCTTTATGGATAATTGATTCATACCGTTCCAAATGAATTAACTATTTTGCCCTTAGTTAGATTTTATGCTTTTTAACATAAAATTAACATCTAAAGGACTATTTTGAGTTAGGAACATACCTTTGATATCTTGGGTATTACATTATTCTTTACCCTTCATCCACCACTTTCTTACATTTCAAACGTCACCATTCTGCTACTCAAAAATAAATAAGGAAATTTGAGTTACTATCTATATTTATATCAAGAAAATTCCTTTCTTTTTTTTACTTATTCATATTAAAAGTCAACGCAATATTGACTTGATTTAAGTTTTGGTTGACTTTAGCTTAGGTTAGTTCTAGTCAAAGTCATGAAATTTATATTATAATCTTTGGAAGCCAAAAATAAAAAAATTAAAAAAAATTAAAAGAAGGTTTTGCTTAAGGTTTACTTAACATATTTGCTCAAAATTTTGCTTCTCATGAATTTATTCAAGTAAGAAAGTATTACGTTATTGCATTCTTTTCTCTTAGGTACTTAGTATTGTATTATTTTCTTTGCTTCAGGTTAGTGATTTTTTAAAGTTTTTATTAGTTGTTTAATAAACAATGACGAATTTGCGGAGACCCCCCTTGACAAAAATTCTGGATCTGTCACTGGGTGTTAGAGGTATTGTAAGTGAATTCTAGCTTAAGTTGAGTTGAAATTGGTTAAAATAAGGTAACATATGAATTAGGTTGCATGAATTCATATCGGATTGTTTGCTTGCTGTTTCCGTTGTGTTGGCTGAATTGGGAGAGGTATCTATCACAGGCCCTCGACTTTCACAAGTAAATTCCTGAGAAGTCAAAGTCTTTTAGACTGATTGCTTTTTGCTTCATGACTCCTGTTTATTTATTCACACTATTTATCAGTCCAATAACACTACGGACACCGAAATTCTGTACCGGCCTACGTGTAACGCACATCTGAATATTTTTACAATTTTTTTCTAGTGAACGGCCGTCCATCAAATTTGGACGGCCATTTACTTACATGGACGCCCGTCCATATTATATGGACGGGTGTCCATATACAAGGGACGGGCGTCCCCATTTAAAGGACGCCCGTCCATAAATAAAATACAATAAAAAAAATTGTAAAATATTATGGATGGCCGTTCATAGGTTGTGGACGGCCGTCCCTTAATTTTGGACGGACGTCCGTAAATACGGGACGCCCGTCCAAACTTAATTTGTTTTAAAAAATAAAATAAAAAATTTGGACGCCCGTCCATAAATTGTGGACGGGCGTCCCTTAAGTTTGGATGGGCGTCCATAACTAATGGACGCCTGTCCATTATGTATGGACGGCAATCCACACTAAAGGGACGGCCGTCCATTATTCTTTCTCTCTTTTTCTATTCTAGTTTATTCTTCTTCTTCTTGTTTTGTTTGAGTTTCATTGCTGAAACTATTTACATTTGCAGATTTTTAGGACTGTGTGTTAATGGCTTTGGGATCATTGGTGCAATTATTCATGGGGTTTCAGTTCCTGTTTTCTTTATATATTTCAGGAAGATGATCAATATTATTGGATTGGCTTATCTTGCCCCCAGAATAGCTTCTCACAAAATTGCGAAGGTATCCAAAATTCTTCAAGAATATGTAAATTACTTCATCTTTAACTTTCTAACTTATTCTTCAAGACAACCCCAGTTGGGTATTTTCCCTTTTCTATTCCATCTTTGAAAATTTAAAATTCATCCAATCTCTTCCATCTTTACTATCTCAACAACACTACTCCTTAACTCAGTCACAATGGCAACCCAAGAAGTGGAGAAGAAATCACAAGACATAGTTCTAGAAGAGTTTCATCAGTTGGCTGGGAAACTTAGGAAAGATGAAGAGGGAGCACACCTTTAGGTTCTACTCATAATAGTGGAGGACATGGGCCGCATGCTTCATCCAAGCTGCATGGCGCCCTTATTCCAATAGAAAGAAAATGGAACATTTACGAAAGGAAGAAGAAGAAGCAGAATTTTTTTTTTTTTTTTAAGTATGGACGGGCGTCCATTACAAATGGACGCCCGTCCAAAAGTAATGGACGGCCGTCTCCAATATTTATAAAATTTTTTTATTATATTTTATTTATGGACGGGCGTTCTTTAAATGGGGACGCCCGTCCCTTGTATATGGACGGGCGTCCATGTGAGTGAATGGCCGTCCAAATTTGATGGACGGCCGTTCACTAGAAAAAAATTATAAAAATATTCAGATATGCATTATACGTAAACCGGTACAATATTTCGGTGTAAAAATCCTAGTGTCCGTAGCATTATTGTTTATCAGTCATTCGCCAAAGTTAAAAGGGTTATATTATATCTTAATTTAGACTAATTTAAAAGGAGAAGGTTGCTCTTTCTCACTTAGAGTGAGAGAGTGGCCATGGAGGAGTGTGTATTGGAGCTTCCATTAGGCGAAGCAGCAGCAAAATTCGATCTCGAAACAGCAGTCTGCAGCCATGGCTTGTTCATGTTATCTCCCAATCATTGGGACCCTCTCACAAAGTCCCTCACTCGTCCTCTCCATCTCATTGTCCACTCAAACTCTCCTCGTTCTCCGTCAATCACAGTCATCATTTCTCAACCCCACCAAGACCCGCATTCTCTCCGAATCAAACTCCATAAAACCCCATCTGGCTCCCTCTCTAAGCACCAGCAAGACGCGTTGGTGCGTCAAGTTGTGAGAATGCTGCGCTTGTCGGAGAGTGATGAGAGGAATATGAGGGAGTTCAAAAGGGTTGCTTCAGAAGTAGGTGAAGGGTGTGATTCTGTGAAGGATTTCAGTGGGAGAGTGTTTAGGTCTCCTACTTTGTTTGAAGATATGGTCAAGTGCATGCTCCTTTGCAATTGCCAGTTAGTTTCTATTCTCTATTTCGAGGATTGTTTTTTGCTTATAAAATGTTTGATAAAATGCTTCAGCCAGTTAAAGTTGCTTTGAATTTTATTTTATGCGCCATAGGCATTGCAAACTATGCTTATGAATTTTTTAGAATGTTTCTGATTGTGAAAATCTTTTTCACCTTTTGTGATGGAGTATTGCTCTTGCTTATAGAATTTAAAGCTTCTAACTTCCTGAATTACCAGAATTACTTATATGTCATGATCGTTTTAAACTGAACCCCATTTTGCAAAAGCGTTGAAGCTTAGACTTTTGGTTAGAGTAGATGTTGAGAGCTTACAGAAACAAAAATGTTGATAATAATAGTGTGATTTGTGCAGAGAAAGATGGAAAATTTACAATTTATGGAGTTAAAAAATTATCTTTTTTGTGCCCTTAGACTACATGTTAGTATTCTTCTTGATTTTTTAACAAAAAGTTGGTAAATTATGTATTTAAATTTTAATAGGTGGCCAAGGACTTTAAGCATGGCTAGGGCACTTTGTGAGCTTCAGTTTGAGTTGCAGCATTGTTCATTCAGTAGCTTGGTTGCTGGAATTAAGCAGGAGGATTTAATTCCAAAGACACCTGCAGAAAAAGAGTAGAAGAGGAGGAAGATATTGTCCAAAGTTTCCACCTCATTAACTAGCAAATTTGCAGAGGTTAAAGCAAACTTGGAAGAAGATTTGGATTCAAAACTGAATTGTTTTAGAGAGACAGAAGAGAATTTGAACCCAAGCTTTCCTTGGGATGATATTGAAGATGATTCATGTGCAGTGCACGAGCTGTCTACAAGTGATTTGTGTTTGGTGTCTGATCTTCAGTCTAAAGGGAAAGAAACATATGCTAGTGATAGGATTGGTAATTTTCCGAGTCCAGGAGAGCTAGCAAATATTGATGAAATTTTTCTGGCAAAGCGTTGCAATCTTGGCTACAGAGCAGGTCGTATAATAAAACTTGCCCAGGCTATTGTTGAAGGCAGGATTCAGTTAGAACAACTCGAAGAAATTTGCAGTGAAGCAAGTTTAGCCAGCTATGATAAGCTGGCTGAACAGTTGAGCAAGATTGACGGATTTGGTCCATTTACATGTGCCAATGTGCTTGTATGCATGGGATTTTACCATGTGATTCCATCAGATTCCGAAACAATCAGGCATTTAAAGCAGGTAATGTTTTGTTTCTCCTTTATGCATTGTGTGAAATTTTGTTTGGTACATCTGACAGTTTGCTAATGCAGGTCCATAAAAGAAAGTCTACCATTAAAACAGTTCAAAAGGACGTTAAAATGATCTACAGAAAGTATGCACCATTTCAGTTCTTGGCATACTGGTATAACATCTGAAATTCAGCTATTCTGTGATTTGCTCTTTTGATTCTCTGATTTTACCAAACCTGTCAATAGTTCTCACTTGATCTTTATGTGATTAGGTCAGAAGTATGGCACTTCTACGAGGAAAGGTTTGGGAAGCTAAGTGAAATGCCTTACTCGAATTACAAGCTTATAACAGCCAGTAATATGAGAACCTAAAAAGTGTAAGATGTCCGGATCAACAGTGGCTTGATATTAACTACAATGGCAAAACTGCACTAAAAGATTACTCTTGTTTTTGCGTTGCTGCTAAGATTGTATAAATATTCACGCTGACATTCATATTCACATATTTATTTCTGCAGGTTCTATATCTTTTGATGTGGAAACCTGCTGAACTGAATATTGATTCAGCTCTGGACTCCGGACTCTGCAAGCTGCAGGATGTACTGAATCTCTTTGATTACCTCGCATAGAGCTGTTGGTTCCCAGTTCCCATACGTACATCATTGCCAGTGTCCAAACCGATGGCAGGGATCAAGAATCTTTGATACATTGCAGTCGTTGGCTCTCTCAAGATTTAGCTCCCTAATTCTATCGGATTTCATCAAATGCAAAGCTATAATCATCAATGTCCATTGTTAATTATTGAGTGGTGAAATATTTTGGATTCGAGTAGTGCTAATCATCAAATGCAAACTTTTGTCACCTTATCAAATTTGATAGTTTGTCTCCTTGACATGATTATGGAGTGGTTTTTGTGACCAGTTGGTTTTTTAGGATTTGTTAACAATCTAAGTAAAGTCCTTCCACAAAGTCTAAACAACTTAATTATAGTACTATTTGCTTAAGTTTTTAGGGTCTTTTTATCAAGTTTAATACGTTAACTGAATCCACAACATTATTAACCCCTAATAAGAGTTGGTCAAGGACCGGTCTCAAGCGGGCTCGGGCTTGGGCCTGTTTGGGATTGGTCTTTTTGGGACTAGTCACTTATGGGCCTAGGATTGGTCCCAAGCCTATGAGCAATTTTAGGACCTAGATCGGTCCCTAGGACCTGTCCTATGAGCCTAGGACCGGTCCTATGAGCCTACAAAATTTCTTTTTCCCTCTTATCTTTTTTTTTTTTTTTTTTTAATATTTTAGGGGCGAAATGAAATTCTATAGGGGGGTTTAGTAATTTTCAGGGGTAGATTAGTAAGTTTTTAAAAGTTTAATTAATTTAAAAAAATATTAAAATAAATAAATTTGTAGTTAATTTTAACATAAATGTAATATTCACACATTCACGCTTCACAAATAAACAATTAAATAATTTTTTTTTAATTAAATGATTCATTTTCATCGTCAATAATATTTAAATCATTAAAATTTGTGTTCCTAAAGAGTTTGAATAGCTCAGGATCTTCAGGGTGCTGTTGTAGTCTTCTCTCTGCATGAGTCCAATCTCGTACACATGTTATTACTTCAATCATCTCATTGGTTAAAGAGCATCTTCTGTCTTCAACAATCTGGTCACTTGTTGAAAATGCTGACTCGGATGCAATTGTACAAACCGGTATAGATAAAATGTCACGTGTTATTTGGGCTACAATGGGGAATCGACTTTCAGGTTGGTTCCACCATTGAAGCAAATCCATCTCACGTTTCTCCTTCATCATCATAAATGATAGGTCCATTTGTAGGTAGCGATTAAGCTCATTTGGTCCATGTATGTGAGAGCTGGAGTTGCTACTTCCACCATATTCCATATACGTCCACTTGCTCGATCCTTGATGGAGGTCTACATCAGGGTCCTGATCATCTCTCCTAGATGTTCCACTTCCACTTCCATTGTACTTGTTCTGAAATAAAGGAAAAATGTTTTCCAATTTTTGCTTAAAGTCAGTTAAATAAGATGTATAATCTTGTCCTAAATGCTGGCCTATCTCAATAATTATATAGTTAACTATGCGTAATTTAAACCTAGGATCTACAACAAGGCCTAATTCATATAAGAATGGAATATCTAATCAATATTTCTCGTATTTTTCTTCCATCTTTGAAACAATTTCTATTAAAATGTCATTATATCTATATTTAGCAAAAGTTTTAGAAATTAGTAGTCGGATAGTAAATATCACTTAATGTATTAGTGGAATCATAAATTTTTTTAAGAAATGAATAAAAAAGTTCACAAACCGCCCAATCATCATAGTTGACAACTTTCTTGCGATTGGCAAAACTTTTTCCAACATCAAGTAGGTGGAGTTCCAATGGATAGGCATGTCTGTACATAACTTCAAAGGTCAAACCGGTGGGTCCTCTTGCCTACAATATTTGACGTACTCCTACCATTTTTTATTGCTACCGCTGACGATAAATCCGATAACTGTACGCACTCTCTCCATTTTCGAATGTATAATATCTAAACATGTTTTAACAATCAAATTGATGATGTGACAAGCACATCTTTGGTGAAAAAATTTGCCTTCACCATGCGGATCCAATCTCTTTTCAAATAAAGAGGTTGTCATGGTGTTAGCAGTTGCATTATCAAGCGTTAGCGTTACAACTCTATCAGTTAATAGATATTCTTGCAAAACTTCAAGAATTGTAAAATAAATAGTGTCAGCACTATGTTTTTCATATAATGGTTTAAAACCCATCAATTTTTGTTGTAAACCCCAATTATGATCTAAGAAATGTATTTTGACAGTTAAAAAATCTGTTTTTGATCTACAAGCCCATATGTCTGATGTAAGTGCAATAGATATATTCCTAAAATTTTGAAATTCGTTTTTAAGTTTATTATTTACTTTTTTTATAAAGTTTTAGTATATTTCTTTTACTTGTACTTTTACTAACAGGGATATATGCTGGACAAAATGCAGTTTTAATCATGTGTATAAAATAAAGATTTTCAGATAAACAAATGGGAGAGTCCGTAGCAACTATGAATCTCGCTATTTCCTCTCGTGCAACATATGCATTGTATTGCCATGTTGACAGAGTTGAGGATTGTGGATTAAAATTAAGTTGAGTTTGAATTTGCCTACCTGATCTGGTTGAAGATGTACTGGACAATTGCATTATTTGGGGGTGCTTCTTCTCCAAGTGTCATTGCGTCGTCGAAGTCCCCTTCTCAGCGCCAATAATGGTTCCACAGAAATTACATACCCCACATGATTTTTTCCCCTCCCCATTTGTCTTTGGCCGTTTTGATTTGGTGAAGTGTCGCCATACATCAAGCACGACCCTCTTTAACGGTTAGGGGGGTTGGGTTATGCCCGTGCCCGTTGATTCGCAGCTTGCTTGTGTTTGGCTGCACCTTGTCCAGGCCGAATGTGGTTGTTGAATTGTAGTTGCTGCCTCTAGAGAAAAGGGTGAAAATGTATTCAACCCTTCCATTTCTTCGGTGGATGGAATATAAAACTCATTTGGGGATGATCCTCCGAATGCATCATTTTGGGAATCCATTATGAATTTATGATAAAATAATAAATAATTAAAATGAAAAAAAATTAAACAATAATATTGTTAGAGTAGATGCCTTAGAGCTAATCAATTATTGTAGAATTGACTCTTTGTAATAATGTTCATTGATCAATAAAAGACGTTTTATACTATATCGCGTAAATCATCATTTTATGTATTGATATATGTCTTTGGAATGGTAGAGCCGTGACGAGGGTATTAAGTGTTTCAAATCTTGATAGTGAGAACCCTATGAGCACATATGGTGGTCATTCTAGAAACGTCTGTAGCCCTAGTATTATTCTGAAATAAGGGCATAGATAATACGGTAAGGCTATCATAGTGTTGAATGACCCTGTCGAAAGACAGTGATTGGTCTCACTTGTCAAGGTTGTTTGGTTACAACCTGGTGCAACACATGGGTGCTTGCTGTAGGCAAGTTCACTAGACTGACCCACTAGAGGATTCCATATGGATGCTAACCTCAGTGTCTATGGAACAAATCCTCTAACGAATGGTGGTGCATGTGATCCTTAGACTTGAGATCACCGGAGCTCCTTGTGCACCGATTGGTTTAGTTTGACACTAGCCTAACGCAATTCTATTCAGAGCTGTCAACAGTAGTGATTGGCTGCATCAAGGAGTGTATCAAGGATATGGTGGATAGACAGAGGATTCATCACTCTAGAGTACAGGAGAAGTTATCTCATGACACAATTCAGTAAATGGCAATGACACTAAAACTGCGGCCAAAGTGGGATTGAATTGTTGTTCTATCCAGTTTATAATACAGGTCATTGTTCTAGTAACTGAATACACAATATTGAGAGTAACCAAAGGTTGACACTATTTCTATGGCTCAGTCTCGTTGAGATAACAGATGATGAAAGGATCCGATTGTACGATATTAATATCGTTGACAGGTAGTTGCTTCGCTGAATCCGAATCTATCGGGTGGCCATGATGTCTTGTTGGGGGCCAATCTTGGTCTATTTGTAGTGAGACGATTAATTGGTGTTAATTGAGATACTATACACTACCGGTATGATAAGGAGTCTATGGGTCACACACATAGAAGATAATTTAAAAGCCAGCTTAGAAGAAGAGCGTTTTTGTCTTTTTAGACGAAAGGGTATTTTGGCGATTTCACAGTGTAATTAAATTTGCTAAGGTCGTAGCCTTTATTTAATTTGATATTAAAATTAAATAAGTGAGATTTGCGTTTAAAAATGTGTTCGCATATATTTAAATAAATTATCATTATTGTTAAATGTTAATATATATATATATTGTAAATATATATTAATTGAATTTAATTGAGATAATAATAAATTAAAATTAAAATATCTTAAACGGGATGTTTGGATACAAGGGGTGTTTGGGTTGGAGCCCAAACCCATTCCATGATGGAATAGGGTATAGTGTGCACTATATAAGTGCACACTTTGTGAAAAATTAAAAAAAACTCATTCATTTCATTGATTGAAAAGAAAGAAAACACTCCAGCCGTAAAACACTCTCCATGCCAGATTGCTTTTTGCTTGGAATCAAAGATACTTGATTTTTCTTCTTGGTTCTTAAAGGCTAAAGAGGATCTAGCAAATCCCCCTTTAGTTCCTTGAGATTATTTTCATGTGGAGTACAACGGTTCGATCCTACACTTGGGTCGGTAGCGAAATATGCTCAGAGACAAGTTAGAGGAGCCTCCAAACGTGCATATGATTTCTTAAACTCTAAACTAAAATCTGCAGATTCTTATCTAATATATATAAACTGTAATTTTGTACTTAGATCTTGGTTCTCAGTAATGATCCATGTCGTAAATGTTTTTGTTTTTCCGCTACGTTACTAGATCGTTAACTAACAGTGGTATCAGAGCCTTAGGTACCAGATTTTACAGTTTTTATGTGGATGGTTGATTACATGTATTTGATTGATAACATGTTGCCTTGATGAATCTGTACAAAATCTGCCATGAAAGCAGGGTTTAAGAAATCGATTAATTGATTAATTTAAATCTGTTGATGATCTACAACTGTGGAATATTTGGTTATGGATTTTTGTTGAAATCAGTAGTTTAGATTGATTGCAAAATCCGTTCGGGGTATTTTGGTTGCTGGTTGAACTGTTTTGTTGCTACAGATTAATGTATGCTCACCGCGGCGATATAAACCATCGTCGCATCATGCGTTATTGGCATACACGCTGATTGCAAAAATCAGAGCTCGCTGCGGCGATATAACCCATCATCGCGGCGAGTACACGTGGAGTGTGAGCGCGATGTTAACCAACGTTAGATCGCC